AATCAAAAATTCAAGAAATGGACCCTATGTTTAATGCATTAAAATATTCATTAAAAATGAAAAATCAATAAATCATTAAAATTTTGGTAAATCATCAATTAAATGAAATTAAACTAGTAAAAGCATTAAATAAATAATCAATATTCAAGTAATTGAAGTTTTTAGGTTGGACTACCTCAAGATGATGGGCTATGTATCATGAGGCGACCTTGAGTCCTTGTACTCATTGTGATAACGCCGTGAACAAATTTGATAGAATGTAAATACTAAAATATATACTTAAACAAATCAATAATAATAAACTAAATTCGAATAGAAACTATTAATAAAATATATAGAGATTATAGCTTTTTATACCCTTGCACTTGATTCCTTTTAGGAGGGTAAAGGGGCATTGGATTGAGAAAGCTTTAAGGATCAAAATATTTAATTAAAATGAAAAACTCTATGATATTTATCTACCTAGTCTTGGAGGATTTGTAGCATTATAAATATGAGCCTAGGACTTACTGATCAATCGATTCTAATACTTAGTATTAGTTGAACGCTATGTTCTGTAAATCCTGTAATTAAATGACTTCAATAATAAAAACATCTTTAAAAAAGAAATTTAAAACCTCTAAATCATTAAAGCTTAAATTCAAACTCTACTATAAATACCTTGAACAAATAAACTCATTTATACATAATTTTAAACTAATAAAATATATGAATTATCTAGCCACACAACTTTTTTATACTCACTTAGATGGTTTGCTAGGACAACCAACTCTAGCCCAAGCTAGGCCAGTGTTTTAATTTTCTTTCCATGTGCTTTGCTTGGAGTATACCTTATGTATGTTTATTTATTTATAACAATATGGCTTTCATACAATTTAAATTCTTATTGGTGCACTTAGTCTCTTTAAGGACTACATTATAAGCATCATGTTATTACACAATTATTTTATACTTTACATGATTTTATATACATTTATATTACTTTAAATTCCTATTAGAGTCAAAGTAAAATATAACTAGGTCTGGTAAGATCATTAATGTGTGGTGGAATTTTTACATGTATTTATTAGTGGTATATGTGCATAAGTGTGTTTAAATATATTCTAAAGTGGGTCCAGTCCGTCTACATATATATAGAAAAATTAGTTATTTTTTTTCCTTTGGAGCACTTTGGTGCTTGTTTAGCAACATTGCGACATTGAGATCTCTAGCATAATTTTAGAAACTGAACTAACCTTTGATGTTGGGGTTGGGCACTGCAATGCTAGGTCAAAATTTTTATAAAATATTCAAATCTATTTTCTCATTTAATTTAATAAAACATTAAACATCTCCCCTTTAGCTATTTTAAAGAGAGAAAGAGGATTTTAGTGTGAAAAATGTCTATTTAGGGCACCTCTGATCTATTTTCTATGGTCGGCCCAATTCAGGAAATTACCTGGATTAAGGTAGGTTACAATTCACCTATCTTAGTTTTAAAATACAAAAATATTAGTATTTTCCTAATTTAATCTATAAATTTGTATTACAAAATTGAGGATAATTTTGTACCCTCAAAACTTTCATGGTGTTACAATATGTATGTTGTAGAGAGTCATTCTAGTCATTTAGCTATTTTTCTGAAAAATTTACACAATACAGTTTGCAAAGTGAACCATTTTATTTAACTAGAAAATAAGATATTAGCATAGTTAAAGCTTCAAAATAATGTTTGAAATAAACTTTAGTGATTTTGTACTATTATAAATAATGAAATTTTACTCAATAGTTGAATTTGTTGCATATCGATAAAGCTTTTGTGAAATTCTAAAATTAGTTTACTTTATTTTTTTTACTGTAGTGAAATGACTTATATGCTTATCTATTTAAAATGTGTAAATGTGAGAAGATCTGAGGAGAGGTGGAAGCTTTATTCTAGATGTTTTATTCTGGTGCTAAATTTATAGGGAAGTTCTGTTTTAGTGTTATATGCACAAGAAGTCATATGGGCCTAAAATTCTGAATATATGATATGTGCTAAGCATTGGGAGTCCTAAGAGCCTATTTTTATATGCCAGCACAAGAAGTCTAAAGAGACTTCTTATAATAGAGGTATAAGGACCTAAAAAAGATCTTTTATTTTTTTAATTATGATGTATGAAGTGCTTGTTTATTTACTTTTTATGCACATATTATCTTATTTCAACTTTTTTGCAGTTTCTTTTATGCTAAGTATGATAAATCTCTGATGAACTACTTTTAAATTTAGCTGAATGCATAATAGCTAAAATACTTAAAAATTTAAATTGGTGGGTGTGACATGTTGAGTTGTATTGGCTCATAGCTACTCCGCATAATTTCCAAACATCAACTAGAACTCACTAATTTCATCCATATATTATAAACAATGAAAGCATAAATATATTTCTTTTCATCAAATATTTATACGTGATCACAAAACTTTATATACAATAATCATTAAGTCTAACTAGAGTAATCCATTAGTATAATTTCATCATGACTATGAAAAGAAAGAACAAAAAAACCTACACTTGCACCCTAAATTCTCCCCACTCCAACTGCTCCTTAACTTACCTGAAAGCATTTAAAAATTACATAATGAGCATATAATCCATCAAGCAACTAGTATATATAGATAAAATTAATGCACTAGAATAACATTCATATAATCATTTAACTACAAGCAAATATAGTAACCCATAAGAACAATTTCTATAAATCATATACACCAGATGCCATTGAATCAGTCTTATCAATATTATCGTATACATATATCATTAATATCATATATCATATAAACCAATCTTATTATATGTATCGTGTTAATCTGTCAACAAATAAGTCATGTTTCTCATACCTTTTCGATCAACCATCATTCTTACCAGTTAATTAATATCACCAGTCACTTAATCATATTCCTTATTTGACATATTTATCATTTATCATATCAATCAATCGGTCTATCTATCTTTATCAATATTATTGTCACATATTTGTATTATTAGTATTCTTATCATGTATTAGATATTCATATGAGGGTTTATTGGTCTTGAGGGTTCAATCATATTAGTCTCATATCATTCACATATTAGTCATTCAATCTTCTCAATCATTTTAATCTCTTGCCATTCACATATTAGTCATTCAATCTTCTCAATCATTTCAATCTCTTGTCATTCACATATTAGTCATTCAATCTTCTAAATACTATCAATCTCTTATCACTCACATATCATTCATCCATCTTATTAGTCATCATTCATATCTGTTATCTGTCTCCACTCACCAGTCATCAGTCTAGTCTTATAAGTTGTTTATAATCTATCTTATCAATCATATCACAATTAATCTCATATATCTTATTTATCATATTAAATTTATTCATTTTGACTTTTCTTATGCATATCACATTATTTATATACACATTATTTAAATATCATATGCAATTTCCATAACATGTAGATCTATACATTATGCTCATCAATATGCATGTATTTAAGTCAAAGTGCATGTTAAATCAAATAAACTATAATCATATGTATTTCATATATATCATATCCAGATTTTGTATAATTGCTTTTGATCATTTCATACCCAATCATTTCTACTCATTTTAGATAAAACAATATATATATATATATATAACTGGTGAACTTTCCATATAAGCTATTCAAAATGTTCAGGATAATGAAATATATCTCATGCGAAAAGTTACATGGTGAAGACTCACTAAAATAGAAGATATTGCATTTTTATAAAATTTAGAAGAGAGAAATATACTAAATTCAAAATCATTAAAAATAGAAATATAGTAGAGTTCACTTACAATAATTAGAATAACTTCTGTAAGAGGTGCATTGGATGAAAAAAACCTTATAGAACTTTCTCTCTTCTCTCTCTCTCTCTCTCTATACTCCCCCTTCTCTTGTACTTATCCTTTCTTTCCTGCCCCACATAGCAAAATGAATATTTGGGGGGGACTGGGGGGGGGGGGGGTATTAATATTTATAATAGAAAATTAAACCAGTAAAACTATCAGGCACTTCCTATTGGGATAGGAATTGGACTAGCACTACATCGTTAAACTTTCCAGTACCGTAGCACTCTCCATTGAGATAATAAAACTCACCCATTAACAATTTTCACTACGAAGACAAATTAAAATTTATCACAAATTGATCCTCCTTATTTGTTTGGTCCTCTTTAGAGTTATTTTCTTGTGTTAGCTTTGCATCTCACATTGCATACCCAATAAAGACATTTTAATTAATAAAAATTTTCTAAGATATTATGGTGTAAGTCAAATGCTTAATATTTAATTTTTTATTAAGATGAACTAATTTATAGTGTTACTTCTTTACCTCGATAGATAAATTATTTGTTTTATAATTAGCAATTTTTAAACTTGATTAAATTTTAATCAATGTAAATTTGAGATAATGTAATTTAAATTGTTTATATATTATTTCATCATAAAATAAATTTAACTACTTTTATATTTATTTTAATAAAAATATAATAAAATATTTTAATTTATAATATTATAACTCTAAATATTTATCACAATTGTATTAAGATATTTTGATTTTTTTTAAAATTGACAAAATATATTTGAACATAATTTTTTATTAAATAATTTTAAAAATAATTAGTTTATTTTGAGACGTGAGTATATAATAATAATAATAATAATAATAATAATAATTTAATGATTTAAAATTGTGCTGATGAAAATTATATAAAATTTTCTTTAAAAATATTTTTTTAATTTTAATCACGACACCTCATCTTACTGACGTGTCGCTATGGGCCAAAGGAGCTCCTCTCTTTTACTGGTCCCACACGGAAAACCAATTGCGCTTCGAAACAATATCACTCGGTGGGTCCGATGCGAAAATGTTAGGTGCAAATTACCAAACAGCCTATGGAATAGTGTTTATGCAACACGTGTCTATCTTCTCCTCCGTCCACCTCTTCTCTGTTTTCTTCCCCACCCCACACTGCAGGAGATGAAGAGATTTCCACGGTAAGTTTTTAGGGTTTCCCTAATTGTTGCATTAATTGTTTCTATTTTTGGGTCGATTTTGCTTTTTCTCCTTCTTGGATTGGATCGAAGCACCTACCTTTGTTGAGAGATCTATCTTTCTTGTAATTTCTATTGTAATTTTTCCTGTTATTTGAGAGGGATTGTGGAAGTCTATATAGGGTTTTCTTTTTTGTAGAGGCTGTGATAGATTCCTTGAGATCCAGGGAACTCGGAGCAGAAAGGCGACCCATCTTTAGGTGTATTTCTTGTGATTTCCTATATACTTCACTTTCCTAGGTTCATCCCCCCTCGTCCACTAACCGCTCCTCTCTTTCTTGTTCTTCGGACAGGATAAGAGTTTGTATATTTCAAAATTAGGGTTTTGCTAGATTTGGTGTGTCATTTAATTAGATCCGGCGCTTCTTTTCTCTTCTCATGCTCTTGATTCTAGAGTTCGAGCACAGCCTGTAGTCACTCGGTAATTGCCCTTTTTATCCCCTACCTAGCAGCCAGGATCTTGGAAATTTCCATTAACGGGCGGACTTTTAAGAAATCCCGTGAACCTTGGCCGGCGCAGTTCCGGAGTGATGAAGAAAGGGGGGAGGATGCGTCTGGCGAGACCAAGATACGATTTTTATCAATGAGTTTTGATAACGACGGTTCCTGTAGTCCTGTTGCTCGTACACGCACTGCCCGCGCTGCTGCCCTCACCACGACGACAGCTCTGGAGGTGGAGGAGGAGTCGATGGAGGATGGATCCACGGCTGTTGCTTTGCCATTTAGGTTAGGCAACTCGCTTTGTGAGAACCGACCAATGGAGGTTACACGGCTTAAGCTGATAACTGATACGCCTACTAGCTTCCAGCTCGATCCCCCTGAAGCAGCAGCAGTCATGGTGGAGGGAAGAGAGGGTAATGTTTCAAAGGGCATGTTGGATGATAATTTGGTATCGGCTGGACTGGATGCTGAGAGGTTGGGAACTGTCGCACCTGGGAGTGACGACGATGATGATACAGGGTCTGTTGGGCCGGAACCATCGATTGCCAGTGATACCAGCAGCCTCGCCGGTGCATTAGATGACTTAGGAAATTTTGATTTGGGATTTGAACTTGGTATGTCTGGCTCCATGGATGTGGATGCAGTAAAGACTTTTGAGATTTTAGCTGCTCCTGTTGTTGAGGAATTGGGCGTTGATGTGTTGGGTATTGGTGTGAAAGATGATCAGGTGAAGGGTTTAACTTCTGTTGAGCAGATGGAAGTTCAGGAAAGAAGGGCTGCTGGTTTGAGAAGCCTGTTTCTTAAAGACTGTGTGCCACTCTGGGGCAGCATCTCCATCTGTGGGAGGAGACCAGAAATGGAAGACGCAGTTGTAGCTGTTCCACGATTCTTTGATATACCACTCTGGATGTTGATTAGTGATTTAGCTGTGGATGGGCTTTTACCCAGTAAGATTAGCTTGCCTTCCCACTTCTTTGGAGTGTATGATGGCCATGGTGGCGCACAGGTATAAAGATATTTGGAAATATGCTATATTTATTGACCTGTAGGATGCTTATTTTGGACTGTCTCTGCTTGCAGGTTGCCAATTACTGCCATGAACGGATCCATCTTGCTTTGGCAGACAAGCTTGCTAGTTCGAAGGCAGGTTTGGAAGGGGTTGGTGACAGTGATTGGCAAAAACAGTGGGAGATAGCTTTCAATGATTGTTTTCTGAAGGTTGATGATGAGGTTGGTGGGAAGGTTAGTAGAGTATGTTTAGGAAGCACATCTGAAGCTAGTGGTGGAAAAAGCAGTCTAGGTTCCACTGCAATGTCTGATCCTATTGCGCCTGAGACTGTTGGATCTACTGCTGTTGTTTCTGTCATCTGTTCCTCTCATATAATTGTGGCAAACTGCGGTGACTCGAGGGCAGTTCTTTGTCGGGGAAAACAAGCCATGCCTCTATCAGTGGATCATAAGGTATGTCTACTATTCTGTTTGTCTGTCACTATTTCTTCGTCCAGACATATTTCTTAACCTCAAATATTTGATTTTGTGTTTTACTTCAGCCCAATAGAGAAGATGAATATGCACGGATTGAAGCAGCAGGAGGCAAAGTCATTCAGTGGAATGGGTATCGTGTATTTGGCGTCCTAGCAATGTCAAGGTCAATTGGTATGTATGCTATTCTTGGGTATTAGTGTATAACTTAAGAAAAGTTCAACTATGAATGATATTGCAGTTGCTTTTATATTTTTTTTCTTAAAGAAAGAAAGAAAAAGTTTATGTTTTAGCCATGACTAAAATATTCATTGTTTTGAGTGCAAGCTCATTTTTCATATAAGATGATATGTTCTCATTTCATTCATTAGCTTTCGGAGGAGAAAGAATTTCTTTTTTTTTTAATATTGAAAATATCGCATAGGCTTAATGCCACATTCCAGTGCAGCAAGTATGCCTAATTTTTTTTCTGAGGCAGCAAAAAAATGCCTTGTCTAAATGAACTAAATAAATGTGTAATGAGTACATTATACATCTTCCAACATTAAATGTATTTTATGGCCTTCCATATTTTAACATCTATTTGTTTTGATTTGGGGATTCAATTGCCATGTGTTTAAGATAATATTTTGTATCATCAGCCAGCTCACTTGTTACCTTTTTCATAATGCTTCTGAACTCCCTTTAAATTTGTATTATCAAAGAAGCATCCAATATAATGTACTTAATATGCCATCTACAGCTAATCTGCCATACACAATCATACTATCTTTTCACATTCAAATTTAAAGTTGTCAAAATGGGTTTATGGGTTGGGTTCAGGTCCGCATTGAAATTGATCTTACCTGAATCCAGTCAACTTGAACCTTACTTGTTTAATAAACGAGTAAAAAACACCAACCGAACCCAACCTGTTAGCAACGTGAATGACCCGAACTTGACTTGTTATCCTGTTTCGGTTTAATATTTTTTATAACTTATTAACTTTAAGTTTATGATATTTGATCAAAAAAAATAAAAGATTATACCCACAAGTAAAAAAAAAAAGAAGAAATGATATTAAATGGGCAATTTTAAAATCAAAAACGGGTTCGCGGGTCAACTCGAACTAGATCAACTTATAAAACGGGTTGGAAAACCCGACATGTTTATTAAATTGGTCAACCTAAACTCGAATTTTTCGGGTTGAGATCAGGTCGGGCTATGATGCACCGACACGGCACTTAAAGAGGGTGTCCAGTGTCGGACTCGTGTCGGACACACGCGTCGGACACGGCATGGACACGTGTCCGACACGGCATTGGAGTGTCGCAATTTAAAAAATTAAAATTAAAATCGGACACGCGTGTTGGACATGCGTGTCCGGTTATTAAATGAGGTATCGCTATGTACATGCTCGGTATTGCTAGGTACATGCTCGGTACCACTCAGTACATGCTCGGTACCGCTCAGTACATGCTTGATACCGCTCAGTATATGCTTGGTACTGCTCAATATATGCTCGGTACTGTTAGGTACATGCTTGGTACCGCTCAGTATCGCTAGGTACATGCTCGGTACTGATAGGTACATTCTCGGTACCGCTCAGTACCGCTAGGTACATGCTCGGTACTGCTAGGTACATGCTCGGTATTGCTCGGTACCACTCGGTACCACTCGGTATCTTTCCATACAAATAACTTACGAACTTTAAAAACAAGCATTACTTCAAAATTACTCTTACAATAAAATTTTGTTCCGGGGACGTTGCCCCCGGAAACCCCCTGCAGACCGATATATTGTTGTATTCATGTTGTCTTATTATTAGGATATTTTGATTTCACTTCATATCAATTTAATTTGATGTATTCATATGTATGATTGGTTTGTTAGCAAAATGAGTTTTGCTGCTGGCGGGGGTAGATTAGGTCAAGGTTCAAAAGAGCCATCTGTTCACGCCGTGCCCGTGTCCTATATATTTAAAATTATTATATGTTATATTAAAAAATTATTAGGCCGTGTCCACGCCGCACCCATGTCCTATATTTTTAAAAATTGCCGTGTTCGTGTTGTGTTGTGTTGTGTCGTGTCCGTGTCGCCGTGTCCGTGTCGGTGCATCATAGGGGTCGGGTCATTTATTGACATCCCTATTCAAAATTTTCAATTGTTTGATGAATTTTAATTCTTTACTTCAAGTAATTTGTCTGATTTTGTTCTATAATTAATTGTTTATGCCTTTTCATACTCTATATGATTTATTCATCCTCTAATATATTTTCAATTCTTCAATGTACAAAAAATTAATGATATGCCTTTTACCTCAACCCATTTGATAAAATCAAGATGTTGTAGTCCGTTTATTCTATGTAACTTTAATATTTTAAAGTGCCAGTAATCTACATTGAATAGGAGGTCCTAATAACATTAGTGGCTTTCCTATTTTAATAGGATTTGTCTATTTTAACTAGAGGGTTATATGTTTCATTTGCGGAAGAATAAAATATTAGCTGTTTTGTATTGACTTAATCCTTAAATTTTTATATGCCTCCTTTCCAATGTTCTAAAATATTTTTTGCCAACCAAAACTAAATTAAGCGTTGCAGACGTGATGATGCTCAAGTGGATGAGCAGCTTTACACTTAGAGACATAATGTGAAATGAGTATATACGTGAAAAGATTGCAATAGCTCTAGTGGCAAATAAGATTTGAGAGCCGACATAGATGGTTTGGTCACATAAAATGTCGTCTTTCTGATGAATCTATTAGGAGTAGATGTATTAGATCTGCCATACATTAAAAAAGATAATGGCATACCTAAAAAAACTTGGTTAGACATTATTAAAAATGATTATATTTTAATAAATTTAAATGAGAATTTACTCTTAATAGGACACAATTGAGAAAGATTAATATAGCCGACACCATGTAGTGGGATAAAGACTTGTTGTTATTGTTAACTAAAACTTAGCTAATTGCACCGTCCAAAGCGAAATTTCTTAATTGATAGGCTAAGTAAATAGTTGAAGGGAGTAGTAGGACAAATAAAAGCTCTATGCTTGGTCTTATGTATGACCCATTCTGCTAATGCAAAGAGAATTCAACTCTAATCCCTTAAAGGGATGTGATGGTCATACGTAGTAATACTTAATTCCTCTTTAGCTTATTTGTCCATAATTAATAGCTCTATAGGGAGTTACATGGTAAGTTTAATTTCTGTTCAATTACTATCTATCAAAACTAATGCCACATGTTTGAGGTCTTATTTTCTATCATCAGCCATCTCAATTATTAGCTATTCAATAATGCACCCTAACTCTTAAATTTTTACCATCTAAGAAGTATCTTGCATAATGTACTTAATATTTGTATTTTGTTAGTCCATCATACTCTTTCTAGAACCAAAGCTCTCTAGTAAACTGAAGTAATCAAAATATTTGATGAGCTCAATGCTTTACCGTCAAACAATGTGTTTGAGTTCTGAGTTCATTTTGGAATCTGTTTTTTATTTATTTTCATACCATAGATTCCTTCTCCGTGTATTCTTAATTCTTCTCATGCGCTGTGTTCCGAATCAAAGTTCTCTTGTAAATTGAAGTAATCAAAGTTGGATGAAATTCCATACTTTTCCATCAAACAATGTGTATGAGTTCATTCAGATCAATTGTTCATGTCTTTTCACCATAGATTCCTTCTCTAGTATAGTTTTAATTCTTGAATGCATGAAAAAAAAATCATCCTAGTGAATTGTACCATAAAATGTAATGTGCTTTTTTTGCCTCAACTAATCTGATGAAACCATACATCTCCACATATTTCTATCTTCTTTTAAGGGTTTGAAATGCCATAATTATGCCTTTCTTTTCTCTGGGACATGTTGGCCTTGGTACATAGTCTTAATATATATTGATAAAAAAATTTTGAGACTAATTATGCTAGTAAGGTTGAGGTAGAGGGTTGGTTTAACCTAAATGACAAGGCATGGTCTTACACTGTTGATCTAAATTGTGATAATGAATAAAGTTTTTTTTTTCATCATCATTATATTTTTCTTATTGCAGTTCTTTGGTACTTGCTTTATGAAATCTCCTCCTCCATTCATCATTATTGAATGTTGCATGAGTTTTGACTTTATTATGATTTATTATGTGAGATACTAGACTTTCTTATGAAAGGCTATCATTCTACTTTGAATAGGAGATCCTCCTAGCATAAGTGGCTTTCCTCTTTTAGTAGGATTTATACCATTTAACTAGAGAGTTACATCTTTCATTAGTTGAATAAATATTATTAATTGTTCTGTCTTTGGCTTAATGCTTAAATGGTTTGTTATCAGTTCTTCTTAAGGTATTAAAGTTATGTTCTCTTTGCATAGGATCGTGGGGCATAGAAATATGACGTGTGTGTGGGTCATATTTTCTATCATTACCCATCTTTCACGTTTGTTCTTTCATAATTGTCCCCTAACTCTCTGTAAAATGTGACCATTGAAGAAGTATGTAACATAATGTAATTTTTATTTTATATGTAGCTTGCCACCAGAAGCAATCATACAGTTTTTTGGAACCAGAAAGTTTTCTAGAAAATTGAAGAAATCAAACTGTTGGATGAAGTTCAATCCTTTGCCATCAAGCATTGTGTATTCATTCATTCGTTGTGTCTTTTTTTCTTTCTATAATGCTATTGTGGCTTGTTGCCTCTGCACTTAACATGATTCATGGCAACCTAGCAATGAATGGCTTTTGGCCTTGCATAATATTAACAGCTCATTTTTATAGTATTCATTATGGAAGTATCCATGTTATTTCTAAGAATCAGCTGTCAAGCTAGGGATGATTGACATTCAAATCCTCCCTTCTCTTAAATGCTCTTATAAATCAGAAACTTGCTGGCCTCGGCTATTGCAGAACCATGAGTACCCTTCTTGTTTCTGAGAACTTTAGCCTTATATAGTCTATGCATTCTTTCCTTAAAGTTATGTGCCTCCTGATGTGGTCTGTCAAATGAGTATGATTTCACAAAGATTGATGACGGTGAAAGAAGGGGAATGGTTAATAAGCTACCAAGGAAACTAAAGAAAAATTATGTTAGGGTCATATTAAAATTTTCTTGAGCATCCTTTTCTGAGATAATATTATATCTTACCATTCCTTTAACATTTGACTATTGTTGTACCCTAGTATTGTGATATGCTAAA